TACCCTTCACCCATTGAAAATGTACGGGATTTGTTTGTCATAGAATTGTATAACCACTGTTGTACTTAGGTGGCATTGAGGTGATTTCCACTCACAGTAGCCCCAGGTAACAAAATAACCTTGCCCAATGGGGGTTTCTAGGCTGTAACCTTTGTGGGAACCAAGTAGCTGGTCTTTTCCCTGTAGAGTCACTGGGTGGGTTTGAACCAAAAACCCTTCAGTCACCAGCAGAGTGCTGAGCCAGCTCACCAACAGGGCTCCTCTGGCCACTGTGGCTAGCATCTAGCCACAGGAGGTTTTCATTACCACAGAACGAGCTCTGCATGCATTGCCACGCCTCCTTCCCCATTCCCGACCTCTTGGCTACTTTCTGGCTTTATGGATTTGCCTGCTGTGTTTCGTGTAAAATAATCCATAAGGAGTTGACCCTTTATGTCTGGTTTCTTTCACTTAGCAATATATTTTCAAGATTCATCTGTGTGGTAATGAGGTCGACTAGCAAAAGAAACTCCATTTTTGTTAGCTGCTAGATGATTTGCCCGCTTCCCCCTCCCATCTCGGGAAGCTGACTGCTCCGCCTCCCCTGATGGCCAAGTCTCTGATGGTGATCAGTTTTAGAATGTACTCTCAGGTTCCCAGGTTCAGGACATTATAATGAGTTTTTATTATTCTTCAATAGATCGTTTCTTTTGATTATTTTTCAATATTGTTCCTTTTGATGTTGTAATCTGAATCGTATACTTAATCTTGCTATAACCAGGATGTCATAATCAATTTTGGTATTGTTTCTTTTTTTGATAAGAGATGTGCCTTGCAATGCTCACTTGCTCTTTTTGAAGTTACAGTTAACCCATTAATTTTGTTTTCTGCTTCTGTCCGTGTTTGAGTCCAAGGCAGGTGATAAATGAGTTTTTTGCCTTTAAAGATGGACTGAGAAGTCCACTCGGGGCTGCTCTGAGGAGAAACAACTTTAGTGTCTACATAGCCCAGTTAGCTGAATAAAGACACTTCTAAATTTCAAGACATTGTAGTGGCTGTCATTTATCTGAACCCACAACAGTAATAGATACCAATATTTCATTCTTTCTCATGGCTGAGTAAATTTCCATTCTTTGATGATACTGCATATTTGTTTATTCATTTGGTTTGTTTCCACTATTGCCATTTTCTATACCTGTCTGGTTTGAACATGGGTTTCAAATTGTCTTGGGTGTCTGGCAAAGAAATGGCTGTGGCCCATGGTGAGTCTATGTTTAACACTCCCAGGATCTGCCTGCATGCTATCAGTGTCCGCTGCACTATTTCCCCCTACTAGCAATACACAAACATTGCAGTTTTCCCATTGAAGTGAATTGACCCAAAGCCACAATCATGGGCCCTAACATGCCAACCGTCATGAAGATAACACAAACCAGGCCATGTGCATATTACGTTATGGAAGTCCAAATTCATCTTTTCCTCATGGACAGTCGGTTTGCTCAGTATCATTTGTTGAAAAGATATTTCTTTTTTGTGTGTCTACTTCTTTTTTTTTTTTCTTTTTTAACATTTTATTAGGGGCTCATACAACTGTTATCCCAATCCATACACACATCAATTGTGTAAAGCGCATTTGTACATCGTTTCTCAAAACATTTTCTCTTCATTTAAACCCCCAACATTAGGTCCTCATTTTTCCCCTCCCTCCCCGCTCCCCCCTCCCGCATGAGCCCTTGATAGTTTATTTTGTCATATCTTGCCCTGTCCGACGTCTCCCTTCATCTACTTTTTGGTTGTCTGTCCCCCAGGGAGGAGGTCACACACAGTTCTATGTAATCGGTTCCCTCTTCCCTACCCATTCTCCCTTTACCCTCCCTGTTTTGCCACTCACACCACTGGTCCTATAGGGCTCATCCATCCTGGATTCCCTGTATTTTCAGTTCCTATCTGTACCAGTGTACCTCCTCTGGTCTAGCCAGTCTTGCAAGATCGAATTCGAGTCAGTGGGAGCGGGGAGGAAACCTTTAGGAACTAGAGGAAGGTTGTATTTCTCATCATTGTTACATTGCACCGTGACTGGCTCATCTCCTCCCCTAGACCCCTCTGCAAGGGGATCTCCAGTGGCCTACTAATGGGCTTTGCGTCTCCACTCCACACTCCCCCCATCATTCACTATGAAAAGATATTTCTTTCAACCAGTGATTTCTCTCGATTTCACAAAAAATCAATGGGCCATAAGTGCTAAGGCTTAATTCTTGATTCTCAATTCTATTAGTTTATTTAGTCATACCCCTATACCAAGGAGCTCAGGTAAGGTTAGTAGTTAAGCACCTGCCTGCTAAACAGAAAGCTCTGTGCCTCAAACCCACCAGCTGCAATGTGGAGAAAAGATGTATGTAAATTTGCTTTGGTAAAAATGACAGCCTTGGAAAATCGATGAGGCGGTGCTAGTGTGTCCTGTAGGGTCATTATGAGTTGGAATTGGCTGGCTGGCACACAACAACAACAAAATCCTTATGCTACATTCACACTGTCTTGATTTTAGTAACAAGTCATGGGGAGTCCATCCCGTTTCTTTGAACCCTTGCACTTCCGTATAAACACTGAAACAAACCAACCAACAAAAAACAAGCATTAATCTCTGCAAAAGCATCTGTTAAGATTTTTGAGGATTTTGACTCTGTAGATCAATTTGATAAGTATTGCTATTTTAACCATATTATCTCTAATCCAAGAAAATGAGATGGCCCAAATTTCCGCAGATCTTTCATTTTTAAAATAAGTTTTAATCCTTTGAAAGTTTTAATCTTTTAAAAATGAAAGATGAGCTGATACCCAGGGCTCAAGTAGAAAGAACATGTTTTGAAAATGATGATGGCAACATATGTACAAATGTTCTTGACACAATGGATGGATGGATGGATGGATTGTGATAAGAGCTGTAAGAGCCCCCAATAAAATGATTTTTTAATGTTATGACTATTAAACTGTACCGTTAAACGATTTAACTGTAAATATTTTGGTTTTGTACTGTTGTAAATGCTATTATTTTCTGATTGTTTATGCCTCTGATGTTTAAAATCACAATATAACTTGTGTCCAGAAAGGATACTGGGCTCATTCAGACAGCCACATTCTGAGGAACCCAGGGATCAAAAGCGGAGCCTAGGGGCCCATTACCCACTCCTCCCACGCCTTTCAACCTAAAATCGCCCCTGCACGAATGGGCAGTAAGTCTGGCTCCCCTTCCTGGTGCTTCTCCTGGCCTAAGTGACATCATCAGTGCTCAGTGCTGCTGCTGCGGGGCAGGGTGGGGGACAGCCAGCTTCACCCCCTCCTTAGCGACTTCACGTTTACCCCTCTGGTGGGCCAGGAGTGTTTCTACCAGCCCATGCCCCGAAGGTCTCGCCGGAGATCGCATACCAAGGTTTACATAGAGCAGGATTAGATATTGCTTTCCATCTTGCCTCTCCA